AAAAAAAAAAAAAAAAAAAAAAAAAAAAAAAAAAAAAAAAAAAAAAAAAAAAAAAAAAAAAAAAAAAAAAAAAAAAAAAAAAAAAAAAAAAAAAAAAATATATATATATATATATATATATATATATATATATATATAATAGATCATTCTTTTTTATTTTTATAAAAACTTTTACACTAAAAAAGAATAAATATTTTTATGAAAGCTTCAATTTTGTGGAATAGCTAAATATATATTTTAGGGAGTTTTTATTTTTATTTTTAATTAAATTACATAATTAAAAAAATTAATGAAGTATTTAAATTAAAAAATAAATATTTTATACTTTTTTTAATAAGTTATTAAAACCATATTATATTCAAATTATTTGTTTTTTTTAATATTTTTTCTTAATAAAATATTTAATTTTTAAACCAAATTTTAATAATAAATATATATTTTTTAATTTAAAAGTCTGATTTAAAAATTTTAAAACAAATAATATTAAAAAAAAAAAAGAAAAAGTAAACCATTTTCACTATTATCATTGTAATTGGATGGAAATTNCAAAAAAAAAAAAAAAAAAAAAAAAAAGGACGTACAGTGTAAGTCGCTTGTGACACTCAACAATGGCGGAGTGGTTCCACGAGGGGTTGGGAATTGGTAATCGCTTTCGTCCTTCAATTTCGTTCTTCGCGGATCTTCGATCGGCTTGTTTTCCGGAGCCTTGATTCAATCTCATTCTCTTCCTGTTTGCCATTTCACCATGTCGACTACTCCCGAGGAACCTAATAATTTGCAAAACGGAATCGTAACTGAGCCACAAATTTCGTCAGAATCAGAGCAAACCGATGAGTCCAGATCAGAGCCAGAACGCATAGCAGACGCAATTCCCAAAGCTGAATCACAGCTAGAACGAGAATCAGAATCAGAATCAGTTTATGTAGAAGCAGAAGCAGAAGCAGAATCAGAGCTGGCGTCTCGAAGGAAACAGTTATCGGAGTCACTGCCATTACAGGTAGTGACGAATGTTTCAGATCCGAAATTTGATGAGTCTAAAGGAACCTCGATCCCGTCCAACGGCATCGAGAACTCGCAGCCTACGCTGCGTAAAGATGAAGGAAGCCGGACGTTTACAATGAGAGAGTTGCTGAATGGATTGAAAGGTGAAGATGGCAACGACAGCGTTAACGAATCTGAAGGCGAGAAGCCCGACGGTTACAGGTTTGTTGTGTACTTGAGAATACTGAATATGGTTGATTGGTAATCGAATGCTTTCTAATAATGCATTCTAATCTCCAATTATTTGAAATTGAATGGTGAATGGTGACTGTTCAACCTGATTTTTACGACAGTTCTTATTAAGCTTGAAGGTTGAAAGCCGAATTTTCATTAAAAATAGTAATGGGGTAGTAGTTTTCTTTCAATGACGAATGGTTTAGGCGTAAAAATCAAGGAACTCCCATTTGAAAGTCAATATCTGAAAGTCAAAGTTCATCAAAAGTTCTCTAACCAGCTTGCTCGGCGTCTGCGAGTTTTCGTCTCTTTAACGATGGTTTTCACCATCTGATTGACCCCCTGCCAATTCTTTATAGCCGATTCTCTCAAACTCTCTAGAGCAGTTTTTCTTCCTAGAAGGGTAAGATACAATGATTGCTTTGAACGATTGAATACTGTCAGGGACTATTCATTGTTGTTACGGTTAGTATAATGGCTTCTCTAGGAGAGTTTTTTGTTTTGCATGTTAGCAAATCCGATGATCCTATTGAATTCTATAGGGCAGACCTTGTGTGTAGAATCTGGTCGTTCGGATTTACCATTCAGTTGACCCGAAGTTTTTGTTAAATCTGAAAATTGCTTCAACCTGACCCAATTCAACCCATGAACAGACTAAATTCTGTCCTTCATTACATTATCCCAAAACAGGATATGTTCCCATAAAACGTTTCTGAGGTTTGGATGTAATCATTTTAGTGCTAAAAGAGCTAGAATCCTTCGGCTTATTGAAACGAAGTCTTTCCTTGGGACTTTGGTTTTGAAACAAGTTTTATTATTATTATTATTTGGCTTTGAAACTGGCTTTGCCTTGGGTTTGATTTCTTCTCAACTTCTGTTGCTATCGAATTGGATTTTGTGGCTTCAAATTTTGGTTATTTCATTTCTAACCAAATAGGCTTTTATTGAAGTGATAGGAAAGTGTAGTTGGTTTCAATTTAGTTACTTCTGGTCAAATTGGATTGTATGGCCTATTCTAATTGCACATCGCCCATTATCTCCTTGGGTATTAACTTAACAAACATCCCTATTAAGAGTTTTAATTTTGTTTGTGTTTCATGTACCTTGGACCAACCTTGAAACTGGTTAACTGAAATGATAAACTGACACGTTATCTGTTTGGCCTGCTCTTTTTTTATTAGCCTGAAAAGAAATATATCTTGCAGCTTGGTTTTGGTTCGTGCTCAAATTAACCCAACATGAACCACTAACACTCCTAATAATTGTCAATTAGTCAATTCATCTTAATCATACCCCGTTTTGGAACTAGTCAATTCATTTATGGATACTCCTATCCGTTCCTTTTTGCATACTGATCTATTAGTTCTCTCTCCCTCTTTCTCTTCATTTGATTTTGGTTTGGATTAAGAAAATTCTCTGTATTATCAGTGGAATCTTTAATTGCAGTAGAGTTTTGCTGTTACCACCTTTTGTCTCAATAGCTATATTGTTTCTTTACTGTATGAATTTGCACAGTCTTAATCAAGATAGCCCACAACAGCCTTATTCTGAACAGAGCAGAGCTGCCATGGAGTTGATCAGCAGTGTTACAGGTGTTGATGAAGAGGGCCGTTCTCGCCAACGGATTCTCACATTTGCTGCTAAGAGGTATCATCATAATACTTTTTGTCCTTCGTAATTGCATCTACTTGGTTTATGTTTCTCATAATAGGTCTTGTAACTTGGACTTTGAATTCCTATTGAAATCGGGCCCCAGTTGTACTTCCCCATTTCATCCAATAGGATCTTGGGTTGTGTCAGAGCCTAGTTGTGTCATTGTGATGCATTGAAAGAATGAGAATTGGATTTTCACTGCAACCAAAAAGGAAAAAAAAGTGCATACTTTGGGGGTTAGTAAAGGAGACAATAGATAATACTATATGTAGCATGGTTGTATTTATATAAATAATCATGGGTATTTGATTAGCTTTCATGCAAAGCAGTAAAGGATTAACTGATTTTATAACATGTAGAGTTTACAAACTTATTAAGGAATATCTGTATTCTAGTTAGGTGGGCGCATTGTTTTCCAAAGGGGTATGCCTAAGTGCAAACCACCTGTAGCATAGGTGAGATGCGAGGAAATCACCTCAAGATATTTCGGGTATGTCTCCTTGGAGATAATTGTAGGAGGGTAGATCTCACTAAGGCTCATATTTTCCCCCCTCGAATTGTTCTTAGGTTAGAAAGATTATTACGCCTCAGTGTACTTTGGGCTTAGAAGAACCATGGGTAGCCACCAAAATTAAATTATGATGTCCAAGACATATGAGTGGTGCCCAAAAAGTATATATAAAAGGAAGACTGAGAACCCTTCTTTTTTTCTGCCTTTTGGTTATGATTATTGATAAAAATAGATATTATTTAGTTATTTCTCATCAGAAATAGAATCCATTTTATTCTTTAAAAAATGGCTACTCTTATAGAGATCCTTTGTTTATAAACATTATATTTTCAATTTAAAAATTGCAGGTATGCTAGTGCAATTGAGAGAAATGCTCAAGACTATGATGCTCTATACAATTGGGCTTTGGTCCTCCAGGTCTGAGATTTTATATGATCTTCATCAATAATGTTGTAAAGTGCAGAGAGATATTATTGACGGGTCACTAAAACAACTCCAGATCAATTGAATTCTGTGTTTGGTATAAAAATATAACACAACTTACCTGACACCTTCCAGTACCTAGTGTCAATAATTTTTTGTTAAAAGACAACAAGGATATGAAATACGATGAACATTTACTTTTCTTTGATAATGCAAGTAAAAAATCATTGTAATAAGACACCGTAAAACGAACAGATCTCTTCATTCTGTTATAAGCAATATCACAATAAACTCTATTAATCTGATGTTGCAGGAGAGTGCAGATAATGTTAGTCCAGATTCCACTTCACCTTCTAAAGATGCATTGCTTGAGGAGGCTTGTAAAAAGTATGATGAGGCAACCCGTCTTTGCCCAACACTTCACGATGTATGTAAAAAAAAAAGAAACCGTTTTGTACTTTTACTAGTTAGGATGCTGTTGCCAAAAAATGTGAACAGAAGATGGGGAAATGAAGGAAAATATGGACAAACTTTGAAGAGTTTCGAATATTGATTCTGCCAGAAATGAACTTATTTAGATTATAGAGTTCTTTTTTTTTTTCTTTTCTTTTTGCCAGATGGATCAAAATGAGTTTTCCTTGGCCCCATTTTTCACATAGTAATTATTTATCCCTGCTTAGGTTTTGATAAACCATGGCTGAAAGTAGGCCTTCTTTTATACTTGGCATTGGCCGATTTAGAAAATACTCGTATGCATGTTTCACCTGACCTGCAAAATTCCGTTCGTGCTGTCTTAATGATTGAATGTATTTGGATGCATCCCAGGCTTTTTATAATTGGGCTATTGCAATCTCTGATCGGGCCAAAATGCGTGGTCGTACGAAGGAGGCTGAAGAACTGTGGAAGCAGGTTTGTACTTCCATCTCTAATGGGTTTTTGTCATTACGCATTTGAAAAATCTCCCATCCCCAGTGTATCTATCGTTCTGGTAAAAAGGGGGGGCTCTATCATTTTCTGGGTTATCTACGTTTTCTCTGGCGATAGAGAAGGATTTAAAATTTTTTCTATTTACAGTGCTAATGTCATCACTTTAATTCAATGCAACTCCTTCAGTTCTTATTATCTTCTTCTCTTTTTGGTGAAATGTTTGATTACTTGGTGAAGGATGCCTCATTAACACGTTGAAAGTTTGGATCTCCACCCTCCTTATAATTTTATATTTTTCTTAAAAAGAAACTTGCCTTTTCTTTCAACGGTATCATAGGCTGTTAACTGTGTAAAAGGTTTAATTATACTTCATCATCAACTCCGTGATGAAAATTTGCTAGTGTCGGTAAAACACATAAAATACAGGTGCTAATTTTCAGGAATTATTTTTCCTTTTCATCTGAACTAATCATTTCAATTATTCTATCATTCAGGCTACCAAAAATTATGAGAAAGCTGTCCAACTCAACTGGAATAGTCCCCAGGTACATCTCAAGAAATTGCTAGTACCTACATGTGCTTAACTTTTTCTCTTGGATTTTCTTCTTCGTTTGCATTATGTTCTCTTTGTGAAGTTGATTCTATGACAAGCCTCCATAACATTAAAAGAATTGTTTGCATTTATATTTTTGCAAATACCTTAAGGCTAACTATTTTTGGATCTATTTCAGGCGCTAAATAATTGGGGGCTTGCTCTACAGGTACTTATGTTTTTCACATTAGATTAATCTCAATTTGAAATAGTCTCTCTTGCCCACCTCCACGTACTCAAGCATAAGCAATATGGGTAAGATATTTGTTTTTATTGAATATATACGTATATCATGATCCATTTCAGGAACTCAGTGCGATTGTGCCAGCACGAGAAAAGCAGACAATTGTAAGAACAGCTATCAGTAAGGTGACAATAACACTTATTTGGAAACATCTAAATACCAAATAGTTGCAGCCTTTTGTTTAACACTTACTGTTACATTCTGAGCGTTGTTGGTAACTCAGTTGTCTTCCAATTGCAGTTTCGTGCAGCTATACAGTTGCAATTTGATTTTCATCGAGCAATTTACAATCTTGGTACTGTTTTGGTGAGTCTGTTGCCTGCCCCATATATGGAAATTACATGACCATTCATCTGCTTAACGCGCAGTGTTTAGAATGACTCATCAACTTGTGTTGTAGGGATGTGTATAGAAGATTCTTAAGTATTGTTTATATAAATGCCAAGCAATGGAAAACTTATGTCTTGATTGATTTAGATCAGATAATTTAAATTTGCTCAAATCTTAACTCATTTCTGACCTCTACAGTATGGACTAGCTGAGGACACATTACGGACTGGTGGAACAGGAAACTTTAAGGATGTTTCCCCCAATGAGTTGTACAGCCAATCTGCAATTTATATTGCAGCTGCTCATGCTTTAAAACCAAGTTACTCTGTAAGCCCAGTCCTTTCGTTTCGAATAATTTCCGTGTTGTTGTGCCTGATGTAGAAACCAACTATTATGTTCCGTTCAACGTCTTTTTCATTTTTTACCAAGACTTGACACGTATTTGTGCACAAGTACGATAGTTTTTTAAGCCAACTTCTAGTTGTTCGTGGAAAAGGATACAGAAACATTTTAAATATTATAACCGAAGCAAAGTTTCAATTTTTCTTCCATTTCTCTTGTTTTCCGATTAGTCATTTATTTCTTCACATACAAGCTTCAATTGAAGTTTTGATGTTTGTTTTTAATAGGTTTACAGCAGTGCCTTGCGATTGGTTCGTTCAATGGTTAGTCTGACTTCTCAAATAATATGCATCACACTTGACTACGTTTTATTTTCTATTATTTGCTCAATACTTGTAGACCAGAAAGCTTTCTGTAGTGTTTATATGGTTTAGTTTAATATGCGCTGTATTGGTCTTTTAATGGGATGAGAAAGATCTGTACAAAATTCTAAAATAAATGAAGTTGTCAATGTCATAATACATACTGTATTACGTCTATAATGTCATCAACAGTTGGGGCATGTCATGTTTTTAAGTTTCGTGTTGTGAGATCCCACATCGGTTGGAGAGGGGAACAAAACATTCCTTATAAGGGTGTGGAAACCTCTCCCTAGTAGATACGTTTTAAAACCATGAGAAACCGTGAGGCTGACGGCGATACGTAATGGGTCAAATCGGACAATATCTGCTACGTTGGGTTTGAGTTATTACAAATGGTATCAGAGCCAGACACCAGGCGATAATGTGACAGCGAGGACCAAGGGGGTGGGTTGTGAGATCCCACCTCGGTTGGGGAAGGGAATGAAACATTTCTTATAAGGGTATGGAAACCTCTCTCTAGTAAACGCATTTTAAAACCGTGAGGTTGACGGCAATACGTAACAGGCCAAAGCGGACAATATCTACTACAGGTAGGTTTGGGCTGTTACACTTGTATTGCTTTCGGTTCAAAGTCTGAAAGGCTGTGTCTATCAATGAAGATTACTATAGCAGTCAAAAGTATGGCCATGATGTGTCATATCGTTATAACTTTAGCATATACCCATTAAAGCATTTTACTATATTTTTTAAGATTCCAAGACATCTGTAACCCGTAAATTCAGACTCATCATATATTCTGATTTTACTTTCTGGTGACATCCCTTGATCTGGAATTATACTTTGGTGCAATGAACTTTCTGGAACTTGCCTTTTTTACAGCTGCCGTTACCCTATCTAAAAGTTGGGTACCTGACTGCACCTCCTGTAGGGAAACCACTTGCTCCACACAGTGATTGGAAACGTTCACAGTATTTCCTAAATCATGATGTTTTGCAAAAGGTAAAGTTCTATCTGTTTTTATGGTTTAGATTTTATCAGTCAGCCGTGGGAGATGGGTGCGTTTATGTGATTTGGTTGAAACTGATATTGAATTACTTATGGTCAATCCTCTTTCAGCTTAAAATAGGGGGGGAACAAATACAAACATCCCCTAATGCTTTAGGAAGATCTGGAAGTACCTTGAATGGCGATATGCCAATCAAAGTAGAAATTCCAGATATTGTATCTGTATCAGCATGTGCAGATCTAACTTTACCGCCGGGCGCTGGACTTTGCATTGACACAATCCATGGACCAGTTTTCTTGGTGAGCTTGAGCTTTTACGTCTTTTTTTTTTTTTTTTTTTAATAAATAAGAAACCATTTCATTTATGGTAGGAAATTGTAGAGGAGAAGATGCCCAATTCTAGGGAGTTTTTTTAAAAAAACCTCTCCAGTTGGATCGTAAAGAGGAAACGGTATGAATTGGCTTAATGATCGAGAAATTGATGTAAATAATAAAGTTCTCCAAGTAATGAGTTTAAGCCATGACAACCACCTACCTAGAATTTAATAACTTAGGAAGTTACCTTGGCAACTTAACGTAGTTGACTCAAAAGATTGTTTCATGAGAATAGTTGACTACAAATAGGTATGCTCAAGCTAACTTGGACACTCATGATAAAATCGAATGGAGTTGGCTGAAAAGATTGTTCCATAAAAATAGTCGAGGTATGTCCAAGCTAACCTAGACATTCACGAAAAAACCGAATGTAGTTGGCTGAAAAGATTGCTTCATGAAAATAGTTGAGATATGCCCAAGCTAACCTAGACACTCATACTCATGAAAAAACCGAATGTAGTTGGCTGAAAAGATTGTTCCATGAAAATAGTCAAGGTATGCCCAAACTAACCTAGACACTCATGAAAAAACCGAATCGAGCTCATCAATTTTACAATATCTGAAAAATTATCATGTCTGATATGTTCGAGTAGCAAACTGTGCTATTAGAGTGAGTCCATTGATCACATGGAAACTCCCATAGTTTCTTTTGGTTACTTAACTTACACTATTATGTCCAACAATTATGAACTTATATGATCACCTTATCTATTATATATCAGGTTGCTGACTCGTGGGATGCGCTCGATGGATGGCTTGATGCGGTTAGATTAGTTTATACAATCTATGCTCGAGGCAAGAACGACGTTTTGGCTGGCATTGCAACGGGTTGATGATTATTATCAAGTATGAAAATTTATTACTTATATTACCTTGATGTTTATATTATGCTTGCTTATAGTAGATTTAGTATTCATTTCTCCAAATTGGAACTCAATTTTTGGGGTGCTTTTCCAGTGCTTAATACATGATATTCTCTAGCCAGATTTTCTTTTCATGTATAAGAATCTACGTACATGTTTCTGGGCTCTTTGAAAAGAGCTTCGAATTAATTTCATGGAAACTTTAATTGAATTATTTGATATTTTTATCTGTAGAACTTGACAGCCATAGAAAAATATTAATTTAGTCCTAAAAAAGATAGATAATAAAATTAAAAATCTAGATCGAAACAGGGTTGGTAAAGTTAAATGAGAAGAACACTGATAGTTGATGATGGAGGTCAGTACACCAACCGTAATGGGTGTAAAATTATGAATTTTCACCATTGAAATGAAAGCACCCAAAAGACTTTCTGTTCTAGCTAGCATGACCAAATGCTATGGGCGGCTGCCAAACTTTGGAAATCAAAATGGACTTTTTGGTTTGATTTCTAAGTAAATTTTACGACTTTTACGAGTTTCTCCCCGACTAAACATTGTCAAAGAGAAAACCCGAGGGGGCTACTATGCTTACAGTGCACTGATATCACCACCAGAGCTTCGTTACTACTTCACCTAGCGCTCCTACGCCTACCACGTTAGAGAGCTTTTAGATCGAGCCCCAAAATGCCCATTCTTAACGAGTTTCGAAGTGATCTGCATTCTCATTGATGTCTTCTTAAACCTATAAGTCATCTTAATTTTCAAAATTTTAAAACTATGATAAGATAATATAGAGAGAACAATGTCATAGTCTATGTCGAATATAATAAATACTAGTTTATTTTTCTTAAGTGGAATTCGAATCTTAACTTCTTGGTCAATGGTTATACCTTAACCAGTTTACCGTTTATTTTTCTTAAGTGGAATTCGAATGTTTAACTTCTTGGTCAATGGTTATACCTTAACCAGTTTATAGTTTATTTTTCGTGGAATTCGAATGTTTAACTTCTTGGTCAATGGTTATACCTTAACCAGTTTACACATAACACAAATTATCTTTTTGAAATGGTTCTGTAACGACCCAAGCCTACCGCTAACAAATATTGTCCTCTTTAAGCTTTCCTTTTCGGGCTTCTCCTCAAGGTTTTTAAAACGTATCACACCCTTATTTTGTTCCCGTCTCCAACCGAGTGAGATCTCACAATCCACCTCCATTCCGGGCCAGTGTCCTCACAGGCATTCGTTCTCCTCTCCAATCAATGTGAGTTCTCACAATCCATCCCCCTTGGGGAACTAGTGTTCTCGATGAAATACTCTCATTATGAACTGATGGGACTAGCGTTTTTACAAAAAATCTCTAGCCAACCTTCCTGTAAAAGATCTTTTCTTAACATCAAGCATGTTGTTACTAAATAAAAATAAAAATGGTAACTCTAACAATTTCTTTGTCCTCCAACGCCTCTAAATTTCCATGTAACTCTAACAAACATGAATATGAAGCATGTGGAACTCCTATGGAGGGTTTTGATGATGAATTGGCGTAGTGGTCATAAGGGCATTCACGAAATAAGAAGGAAACGTTCAATCCATAGCGGTCAACTATTAGGACTTATTATCCTGCCTTGCATATAGTTGCTAGAGTATGCTTAACCTCGGAATTTGAAATCACTGCTTATATAATGTTTCTAGAATTTGAAATCACTACACAACGCTCAATAAATATGAGATTTCTCAATTTATTCAAACAAGTTTTCGTGATACATAATAGAAACCCGTGATTAAAAACAACAAATAGGCAGAATCCCAACACTAGAATAAGAGAATTACTAACCCTAAAGTTTGAAGGTGCAAATTGGAGGTGAGAGAACGAAGATGATCATAGACAAGAACTTAAAAGAGGAAGACAAAGGATAGTGTTCATGGTGGTTGGTTAAGCATGCCTTTGGTTTTGTAATAGTGATTGTACAATCCTCATGTGTTCTTTTCTTCTACATAAACATGCATTGTTTTATAATGACTATGTCCTATGTCTCGATTCCATTTCACTTCACGAGTTTGCTTTAATGGCATAAGTACGGGTCGGGATTCGAAGTTCGAGTTTATAACTTTTGAAGAACATTACAAACGTTTTAACCAATCAAATTATGTTTGGTAAAATTTATGTTATCAGAGTTTGAATTTTTTACTTATTAAGGAAGATAGTTGATATTTTAACTAGTTGAACTATACTTAAGTTGATATTTTTCATTTTTTTTTATTTTTATTAATCGTGTAACAAAATGTCGCACATCATGGTCAAGATATGATGATTGCTCGGGAAATGCTATAAATCACTTCTAAATAGAAATGTTCAAAAAACCTGATCAACCCTATGAATTTTTTTTGGGTTGAGATGAATTCGAATAAATAAAAACTTAATGGGTTCCGATGATTCATGTGTTCTCTTCCAATTAGATTGGATTGAACTGAACCATCTCCAATTTATTATTAATATTAAAAAAAATATATTTTTGCTTTATTTTAAAATAACCCTTAATAATAATTTTTAACTATTTATTTTAAAATAATCCTTAATAATAATTTTTAACTATTTATTTTAAAATAACCCTTAATAATAATTTTTAACTATTTAAAAGGTAAAATTTCGAAATATAGATTAAAATTAAATTGTCAATTTTAATTAAAGGTTTGAAAATAAATAAATTAATATTTTATTTTTATTAAAAAAATTAAATAAATAACAAAAAAAAAAAAAAAAAAAAAATTAGATTAGAAATTGTTATTTAATAAAAGCTATCTAAGTTAAAAAGTTATAAATTGAATAATTGATTGAGTCTAAAAACTGTCTTAACCCAACTACGAACACCTCTACTTCTAGATATGCTATCAATTTTTAATACAAAATTATGGTCAAATATTTAAGTCGCACTAATGATGAATGTGACCGGGAAATAAATTGGCAGAGTGAGGGATAAAAAAAAGAACTTGCTCGCACTTACAAACCTTGAAAGTGCTTTCGATTCATGTGTTCTCTACTCCGATGTTCGGACTCTGGCTCAAATCAAATCCTTTATGCGTTATTAGGGTTTAGTCTCGATCTATAGCCTATCTACCGAGCACTGAGAAAATATCGAAAAAGATAATTATTATTATTATTTTTTAATGAAATATATTTTTTTGTTTTGGGGTGGGTAAAAATAAAAGATTTTGCCTTTCAATTAGCACTAAACCTAATGTTAACTAAGAAAAACAATATTGAAAAATGAGACATTTCGAGCCTGTAACCTAGAGATGTCCACATGGCAGGGTGGAGGCTTCCCGTCCCATCTCAACCACCTATTTCATTCTCTATCCTGACCCATTTTATTCAACGTGGAGAAATCTCTTTCCACTCCCTCTCCCATTCTCCGTTTAAACGAAGAATCTCCGTCCTATTTGGAGCTGGTCCCTACTCGACAAATTAAATAGATATCTCTACTCCGACCCGTTGATCAACGATACATGTGTTGAACGATGGAACGAGCAATAATTTAAGACAAAAGGGAGAAGGAAGGCATGGAAGGAACTATTTAGAATGAGTACTTTGGAAAGACTTTGGTTGGCATCACCAATGGGCTGCTGGTTTGAAGAATGCCATTTTCCTTTGCTCTTTTGTGGGCCGTTGACACGTCATCACCCTTTAACTCTCTCTCTTCTCTCTCTCTCTGCGCCTTCACCCCCACATCTTCTTCTTCACTTTCTCTCTCTACCGCTTCTAATGGCGGTCAACGACCCGATAGTTCTATCGCCACACCTCTGGACAACTCCTTTTCACTGATTTTCTACTCTACAGTGGTTTTCCGGTAGGAGTTTTTCTGCTTGTCAACTGCTCCTTAGGTTATGGGAAGGATGGGAGGTCGGCAAAGGACTTACAGCGCCAATTTCACCGATTATAAGCTTCTTGAAGAGATTGGTTATGGTGCTAGTGCCACGGTTTTTCGAGCGATCTATACTCCGTCGAATGAAGTTGTTGCCATTAAGTGTTTGGATCTTGATCGCTGTAATAGTAATCTAGTGAGTTTTCCACTCTTGCTCTGTTGCTGTTCTCTTGTTTCTGCTTTGAATTGTTGTTAATTTGGCTTAATTTTGTGTTTCTGTAATCGCTTAATTGACCTTTCATTTTGTGTTTGTGAAAGATCGGGTTTGAATTGTTGTTGATTTAATTGGTTTGAGTTCTTACAGAGGTACTTGTTGTTTTTTCCCTAGTTTTGCGGGTAGAAATTTTGTGACATGGGAATTGTTGTACACGAAAACTTTTGTGTTTTGGCTTTCGGTTAGTTTATGTATACAAACTGAAGTGACTTCAGTGTAATTGTTCTTCGGCTCCGTATTTTCGTGATTGATTCACGCTACACTGGCAAGCAAGGAACGAGGGCCTAATTTTTGGTTTAACAAATATTTCACTAGAAACTTGTGGTACTTACCTCATCGGAAAGTTTGAGCCTTGAGGTAGATAGAGATGAAGATTACTGTGAAAATATATGCCGTGGATGTGGGAGATAAATGGCATCAAGAAAGCTTGGGATAATCAATATCTCCATTTTTCATGAGCTGATTGAAGAACTGAATGATTTTAGCATTGGGGTGGGGTGGAGTTGTCCTGATGGCTGGCTTTATTTATTGACCGAGCCTGCAAGAAATCCTAGATAGTAGAAACCTAGTCAATATGTTATGTTAATACCATATCAAAGAGAACAAACCCAGTTCCCTATAGAATGGTTTCTATATTTTCTGTTATTGTAAAGTGATAAGAAAGTTATTGAAGTTTCCCTCAGGCTTCTCTAACTTTGTTAATAAGATACTAAGATAATATTGCTGCTACAAAAAAAAGTGGGGGGGGGGGGGGGGGGGG